ACAAAAAAGCTTATAGAATAAGGATATAAGGAAAGAAAATGTTTTCGTACACCTATACAATGTGTTTGTGTTTTAAGACAAGTGTCATAACAAAGGAGGCAAAGAGTTGAAAAAAATTAAAAGTTTATAAAGTAAAAAAGGTATAGTAAGCTGAGGTTATTTTATTATTGAAGAATGAAATGTTTTTATAAATTTAGTGTAGCCGAAGTGCACAATGTTGATAAAGTCTACAATAACGTACAGTAACGTCCTAAGCCTTCACCTCCACTCACCACCCACTCACTGACTCACTCAAAGCAACTTCCAGTTCCGCAAGCTCCGTTCATGGTAAGTGCCCTATACAAGTGTACTATTTTTTATGTTTTATTTTATATTTTTACTGTACCTTTTCTATGTTTAGATTCACAAATACTTGCCACTGTGTTACAATTGCCTGCAATATTCAGTACAGGAACACGCTGTACAGGTTTGCAGCCTGGAAGCCATAGGCTATATCTACAGCCTAGGTGTGTAGTGGGCAATACCGCCCACGTTTCTGTAACTACACTCTGTGGTGTTTGAGCAATACTGAAATTGCCTAAGGATATACTTCTCAAGATGGATCTCTGTTGTGGAGCAAGGCACAACTGTCATTTTGAACATCTAGTATCTAACACAATGGCTGCCACAGAATGTACTGTAATTCATGCTTGTTTATGGATCTGAAACTGAGGCTCCTTCTGGGTCTGTGACGGAGTGTGTGTATAAGAGAGATGGTTTTGAATGTGGGTGAGAATCATGGTGGGTTCGTACAACTTTATCCCTAGACTTCAGAATTTGTAGCATAAAGGAATCGAAGCCATAGTGAGTGGCAATTTGTTACCCTTTGTCTGCATCTCAACAGAATCACTCAATGCAGACAAACAAAAATGAAAGACACCTGCATCTCAGGACATAGGAACGTAGCACGAACACAGTGTCGTATCTCAGGACCTGGCCCCTGTGGAATAATGTGGAATAATGACGAAGAGGAACTTGCATATTTTATTTCACATATCTCTGCAGTGTATGAATCTTTTACAACAAATTATATCTATTTTTCTGTTACAATAAAAATAAAAGAAAAAAATTAATATGGTTTCAGGGGGAAACCATTATGGATATGAGTGAGATGCCTCAGCTATTTTGAATTAGTGGAGAAAAAATAATGAAAATGATCACAATCCTTATTCACTGCTTTATGACACGTTTATGTGTGAATACTTTTGGTTAACTATTACTTAACAGGCGTGTTTATTTTGCAGAGAAAACATTCTAAGACATTGAGCCTGTGAAGGTGAGGAGATAATAAAAGGAGGTCTTAATAATGCGAAATGTGTGACCTGCGTGCTCAGGA